ATACTCTAAGAACACAAGTGATTGAGAAATTCAAAATGAGGAATCACATGGGGTAGAGATTGACAAAAAGCATGAAATTAAAACGCACGAAGCAGTTTAGGAGAAAATTCAAGTAAAAATCAGACCATAACAGGTAAATCAATAATAGATTTAAAATATATCCTTCCTAACAATAGGCAGCAAGAGGCCATCAGGATTCAGGGAGGTGCCTTGTTACTAAACAATTTTCTTACTATTTCCTCAATTCCCCTTTTTTATTTTAGAGTTTGACCAATGCTGCTTTATAAACTCATATGTGGTTTTTGAATGAAAAAGTTTTTCTCTAATGTGCTTGAAATTTGTAGAATGGATTATTATATGTTTTCAATCTTCAACAAGCTGACAGGTACGGCAAAGCTGAGTTCCCCCGAAGAAACTGGCCTTATGTTGCCCATGACAGCCCTGATTAGTTAGGAATTGATTTAAAAAGAAATTTCCCATGATTTTCCTCGTTGGAACTTTCGGGAGGAGTTCGAATGCGTGCCTTCCCATTGTAAAGCTGTCACTCCATCTCTCCTACCATTCAATCAATTTTTCCAGTTCCAAAGTTTTTCTTGCAGTCCGCCTGCTGGGATCTTCAAACAGATCGACCGTTAATCTCTCACAGGCTAATTTGGCTTACCTATCAGCCTCCTCTTTGCCCATATTGCCTGCATGTGATTTTATCCAATGTAAAACGATATTGTTTGCGAATTCTTGTTTAATTAAGTGAACTAAATACTCTTTAGAGTTGCTATTTTCCAAAGCTTGCAGGCTAGACAGGGAATCGGTATAAATTGAGATTTTATCTGCAATTCTTTGTTCTTTAATCCAACGAATCGACTGGAGAATGGCTCATTATTCAGAATTAGACACGGAAACGTGATCAGAGATGCGAAAAGTTTTTTTTCCAACAGGTTCTCCCTCCAGATAGGCCACGAAAGCGCATCCTGTCTAAAATTCATTGTTAACTAAAAGTTTCGATCCATCTGTGAATAATTCTTGTCCCTTATAAGTAGGTAAATGTAGTTGATATTTAAGTAAAACTTCTTCACCCGGATAATAAATATAGGTGTAGGTACTGGTTTATAGATTATGTGGTCTTCTTCATGTTGGAAAATATTATTAAGTTGAGCTTCAGCGTTTACGGTCATATCTAAAGGGATTGTCCCAGCAAGTACTTGGGGAGCGTCAATAGATGTAGTCGTATGCTTTAGTGATAGATAGTGAAGAAGTTCTTTCTATTTTTTTCCAATCCATTAATGATTCTTACCTGTTGCGAAAACCAAATTTCAGCTACATAGAAGATAAGTTTCTGAGTGCTGTTTAGGTAGATGAATTTCCGAACATCAGGGCCAATCCCCCAGTCAACCCCTGAGATCAGTTTAGCTTGAAATTTAGTCACTTTGCTATAGATACAGTCAAGGTGGGGCACCCAGGAAAGCTGATTGTACAATTTAAATCCCAGATAATCTATGGTTTCCCTCATTGAAATGTTAACTACACAGTGTTTTATAGTTGGTCGTCTTAAGACCCGATTGGCCTCAGGAAATACCATGGTGACAGTTTTTTTGGTACTGAACAGAAGATTGTGAGACGCAGCCCAATTTTCAAATTTCGTCATAATCATAGTGGCTTGGGGTTCAAGTCTATCAAGAAATGTTCCGTTGAGAAGTAATAGGAAGTCATCAGCGTATGTGATTATTTCCTTTTCCCTTCCCCTTCAAGAGGATTCCCTTTTCATATTTAAGAGAGCGTTCGCTATAAGTAGTCATAAGATCGGTCCCAGAATTGACCCCTGTGTGTCTCCTCTTGCTAAAGGCCTCTCCAACTTCTCATTCAAACAGAATCCTTCTGTTGTCCAAAAAACTTGAAATCAACTTAACCAAGTCATAGGAACAGTTGCAAGAATTCAATTATTCGATAATTTTGTTCCAAAGGACTCTATCAAAGGCACTTTTGATATCAAGGGAAGTACCCAGTGCGGGATGTTCATTATCCTTTATTTTCTTGGTTTTCTCATAACCTTCTCCTTTATTTTCTTAGTTAGAAGTAGTAAGTTCTACCTCTCCCAAAACCGTGTTGATCTGTCTGTAGAATGTTATTAGATTCAAGGTGAAACACTAATAGATTTGTTCAACAAATTCCCCCAAACCGGAAGAAGAGAAATCGGACAATAGCTTTCAGGTTGGTATAAATCCTTTCCAGGTTTAGGGAGAAGAATTAATTTAGCTTTTTTCCATAATGTAGGGAAATAATTTAGAGAATGGCATTTGCTAAGGATTTAATGACTTCGGGAGAGATATTGTCGAAACCTGCAGCTTTATTGTTCTTTATACTATTAACAACAGCTGTAATTTCATTCCTAGTGTATAGTTGATCCCTGTTACAACTTTAAGGTTCCGGCAAAGGAGATGGGTGTTGGTCCAATGGGAAATGATATTCCAGGATAGTTTCAATTGTGGTTTTTTTAGTGGTGATCATAGTTCCATCTGATTTATGCATCTGTTTAAAGTCAAGATGGCTATTAAACTTGTCCCTGACTGTCAAATAGCCAGGACCAAAGCATTCTTTGGTTACAATATTTTTAAGATAATTCTTTACTCTATCCTTTTTCGTTTTGTAATGTTTCTTTTATAGATAGTTTTTTTCTTTTTTGTCCTTTCAGCTTTCTTTTTTGTCCTTCAGATCCTTTTCAGCTTGAAAAAGTCTTCTTCTTCTATTGATGTTCAACTCCGTTGCCTTGTATTTTTGAACCCGACCCGGAAGATAAAGGAGCTCCTGGATCAGGTATTGGGAAAAATTTGCTTTCGTGGAGAACTTTAAGTTGGAACTAAAAAGCAATTGCGTTACAAGGAGAGAAAAAGCACGAAAACCTTCCACGGTTAGCTTGACTGCAGGGGGACTCTTGCCCGTGATCCGTCTACCACTGAGGCGGGTTTCGTATCGATCAGTCATGGCAGGGATTCGAACCCGGTTGACCACATTGGAAGGTGAACGCTGTATTCCCTGAGCCATCACGGCTCATCACGACATTTGGTATAAAAATTTAATACTAAACATTTCCTGTATTACAGTTCAGAAAAGCAAATTGAAAGATATTTGCTCACTACTATAAAATTCACAAAAAATATCTTTTAGTAAATATTTATTATGCTTCATTTTTTTAAAATTTAATAATAATAAAGAAAAATACTGCAAGGTATATAATTTTTACAACACTTTAAAGAATGCAATTGTGCATAGCAGAATGCATATTTTGAAAAATCGGTCGAATACTTTCTGAGAAATCGAATCTTAAATAGCTGACTTTGCTAAAATTTGTTTTCTCAAGAACTATTCGATCGATTTCATTCGAATTTTGTTAAAATAATTCTATATTGAAGAACCTTAGAAAGATTTTCAATATAAGATTATGTAAAAAGTTTGTACAAGTTTTGTTTTAAAGTCTATTATCAAATAAAATAATAAATATTCACTAAAATTGTTCTTTTTGCATCGAATTACCTTCGGGTAAATAAATTTTATAATTGCGTGTACAAATGTTTTAATTTGCTTAAAAAAGTAATCAAGATATGGAGAAATACGCAAAAAGTATACTAAGGGGTCTGAATCTTGAATCGCTCTCCTGATCAAACTATAGTTACCGTGTTTCCCAGATTACAGATATCCCCTTTATTTTGGAATTTTTCCTATATTTGTTTCTGAAATCTAAATAAGACAAGAGAATCGCATATTTATTCTAGGAAAGTAAGTTTTCTGTCTGAATTCATAACTTAAATTATCTCTTGCACTAAATAATTAGCATATTTGAAGTCACTCCCTCGAACCATTAAGATTGAGTTCATGAACGTGAAGATCCGATCATTATATCAAAAGTTATTCAGTGTGTTACATTTTTTTTTTTTTGCACTGTGCAGCTATAAGAATTATTGAAGCTGTAAATCCGAGTTATTATCCAGATAGAGATTTGTTTTTAAAATGCACAGACTATTCTGTAAAGCACACAATATTTTTTTCTATTCTGCTGAAACGCTTTATCACGAAATATCTAATAGAGTTTCGTTTCCAATGAAGTATAACTATTTAATTAAATGCTTGTATTGTTCTTTTACGATAGTTCTTTCATGTTATTGTCTAAATTTCCAGTTTATTTGTTTATTAAACAGCAATCATTTGAATAAAATTACATTGCATTTGCTAAATTTCACTTAACTCTCTTAAAAGTAATTTTCAGCGGGTTGTTGGAAAATTAAAAATGTAAATTATAAATACAAAACAAAACAAATTTTCAATCAAAAACTTTATTTATTTCTTCAAAAATTATAGGAAGAGATCAATATGAAAATACAACAGGACATAATATTCACACCGCACCACAGACCAAACATAAAAGTCAACATTTAAAAACATCAAAATTTACAACGTTTAATACACAAACAGCGAGCAATATAGACACATTAAGCAGAAATTTGCAATTAAAATGAATAAAAAATACTTATCTCGAAATCTCAATTTTTTTAATATAAAATATGAAAGTATTGTAAAGAATCGGAAAAAAATTCAAACCAAGTGAAACATAGAAAAGAAGGAAAACTGGCCACCATGGTCAAAAACAATTTTTTTAATTTAAAAATTTCCATACATATTATGATATTTTAGTACTTTCTTTCAAATTAGTTTTTCATTTAATAATTATTGATGTCATAAACTTATGTTAAACAATTAACTTTTGTTAAACAATTAACTTTTGTTAAACAATTTTTTTCAAACCAAGTAAAACATAAAAAAAGAAGAGAACTGTCCACCATGGTCAAAAACAAGTTTTTTATGTTAAACATTTCTATAATTATATTATGATATTTCACTATTTTCTTTCAAATTAGTTTTTCATTCCTTAATTATTAATATCATTAACTTATGTTAACCAATTAACAACTTAAGTAACTTTAATAAAAATGATTGAAAAAAAATATGCGAAAAATATAAATAAGAACGTCGCAAACAAATATAATTTGTTAAATTGTCTGACATTTTACATCAGTGAATGCTTTTTCCAGATCCACTGCGACTTATTCCTGAAAATGGGCTGGATGATCCACCACCAAATCCTCCCATGCCACCATATCCACCCATACCTCCTCCTATTCCACCATAGCCTCCCATTTCACCTCCTAAACCACCCATTCCACCTTGCATTCTCATTCCACCAACATTTCCTCCATAACCTCCAGATCCAGCTAGAACAAAAAACCATTTAATTTATTAATTGGAAATTTGGCATGATCAGTATAAATATAATCTGATGAATATTTCATCCAGAACCTCATAGAAAATTTTTAAAATTGAATAAAACTTTCTTATGATCAATAGATATAGATTTTTGTAAGACCAATTGTTAAAAGTTTAATTCGTCCAGCATTTAAAACTTTGTAATAATTAAACACATTGTAAAAGAATTGTCAGCTGAATTTTTTTATATTATCAAATAATTCAATGTTGTCAATAACTGAAAAATGTAATTTTTTAAATCATTAATTTGTTAAAAGAATGACTAACAATAAAATAAAGTTTCTAATATGCATGTTTCTACTTTGTATATTCCATTAAATGTATAATGCGCAAAAGAATGAAATTGTAAATGTAATTTTTCAATAAAATGTATTAATGTATCTGAAAAATGTAATTTTTCAAATCATTAATTTGCTAGGAGAATAATCAGCAAGGTTCTAATATACATGTTTCTACTATGTATATTCTATTGAATGTATAATGTGCAAAATAATCGGACCTCTCTTCTATAATTTTGATAGAATGATCGAAAACTTCACGTTCTTCACGAATCTTCGCATTCTATGACTCAATCTTAATGGTTCAAGGTGGCGATATCAAATATTTTAATTGATTAGTGCAGACGATATTTTAAGTTACGAAATCAGATAAAAAAGCTCACTATTTCTGAATTAACATACCTTGTTTTCGACAGATTTAGAATTCTGATTCTCAAAATATAAGAGATATTTCCAATCTGGGAAATATGGTTCCGATAATTTGGTAAAGAGAGCAGACCAAATTGATTTTAATTAAAATATTTGCGTACTTCAACATATCTCGAGAACTTTTAAAGCAAATAAATTTTTGCTCACAATTATACAATTTCTAAGAAAATTCCATACAAGACAAAATTAAGTTAATATTTATTATTTTTGTTATTTTATTTAATTATAGTCGAAAAACTTTTGAACTGTAAGGTAGCAATTTTTACATCATTTTGAAAAATGCAATTTGAATTGAAAAAACACAAAATTTGAGATAAATAATCAGTATAAAAACAATTGAGATAAATAATCAGAATAATAATAATAAAAGATACAAAATCAGTCGAATCATATTATCTTAAGAAATCGAACTTTTAAAAAGTTGTATTCTAAGTTACATCTTTCCAAACTCAACTAAATGGGAGATACTCTGCTCTTTTTTAACAAAATTTTTATTTCGTTAATTAAAAACGTAATATTTAGTTGCGAAATTAAAATCTTGCGATAACGTAAACTTGTGTAGAAAATTTTTTTCAATCTAATCTCATGGAAAAACTAATTTTGCTATGTACAGAACAATGCAATTCGGAATATTAAATGCAACGCGCAAAACTCAATTTAAACTTAGTGGCGAGATAGCTTGTAGAAGGCCAAGGCCTACTGTTGCTATCTCAGTTTTCTTGACCTGAAGCTCTGGGGTGCAGGAGCAGATGTTTCGATTGTGTGGTCAGCTGAATGTGGAAAGCCGTGTTCAGTTGAGCATGCTTGGTACTTATTTTATAGACACCCAAAGGGATGAAAGACTCAGTAAAACTTGCCCTTCACGAGTATAGAACCCAGCACCTGTGGCATGAGAGTGCGATTAGGTACCATTCTGCCAACTGACTCACAACAGTAAAAGATAAAGAAAAACTTTAGTAACTTATTTAACTATCATTGGTGAGGGAAATATGAGCAACAGTCAATTCATAGTTGCTGAAAGCAGCTCAACAACGAATTATTGTGAATGACCAGGTGTCCTCCATTAAACTTCACCTTGATGCAATAACTTCAGTTAGTAATTAACTGTTATAACTACTAAACTATAAATAAAGTATAAATTTAATTTAATATTTAAAAATGTTTAATATAATGATTCCTTTCAGCAATTGAAAATTTTTAATTTTACTTTAAATAGTTATAATTTTAATCCTAATTGCATTTTTATTACCTCGTCTTGTGTATTTTTCTTGTATTCCTGCAGGTGCAGGTTCGGCTATCATGTTCACATCAGCAGGACTTTCTGGTTTACTGTCTGTACCTGGTTCATTGGACTTCACTGTAGCTTGGAATCCAGCTGCACCGGCTGTGTACTGCACTTGTCTGTACAATCCTTGAGCATCAGTATAGCCATAAGATCCTTGCACATTTCCGCTAGAATCTCCCTCTTCAGTTCTGAAACTGTTTGCACCCATGCCATTGGCTAGGTAGTTGAAACTGTATGGTTTAGGCTTAGACTAATAATACAAACAAAATTAATGTAAAACAAATGTCGATTGAAATCTAATTGGATTTCGAATCATTTTCTAAGTATCTCACCATTGCTCCTCCGTATCCTCCCATTCCGCTCATACCTCCTCCATAACCACCCATACCTCCTCCATAGCCACCCATACTTCCGCCAAAGTCTCCCATACTTCCCCCATAACCTCCAGATCCAGCTGAGCCGACTCCTAAGCTTTCAACTGTACAAACTAGTCCTATGGCAAAGATGACGATCTGAAAGAGTAAAAATTTCAAATGAAATAAAAAAAATTTATAATAAAAAAAAATGTATATTCTTCTTCGAACCTCTCATTGAAAGAATTTTAACAATAATATGTAAAAAATACATATTTTTTCCACTACTTTTACCAAAAAATAAAATTTCAAACCTTGTCAATAGGCTATTTCTCCGTGGGTAATAATCGTACCGAATATCATTGTAAAGAAATTAAAAAAAAAGTCCAATCCCTTCTTCAAGTGATTATGCAATTTTAAAAAATGAAAATATGTCACAGAAAACATTTAAAATAATACACTATTAAACTTTTCATTTTGAAATTACGGTAAAATAATTATAAGTAATTTGCCCATCCCAGTAACCATAATCTTGATGGTTTAGGATATTTTTTTTTTACCTTTATGGTTTTGAAACCAAGTAACTGGTACGGTTAGGAAACAGCGAATAAAAAAAAGCTATACGATTTTGTAAACATTTACAGTTAGCATAGTTTTAAAACCATAAAAATTAAAAACTGGACATGCTCCGTGAATGCTGCGTCTCTTTTACGTGAATGATAGTTTCACATTCTTATAGTCAAAGTCACCAACTCTACATATAATGAAGGAATGAAAAAAAAAATTTAAGCACCAAGGTAGGGATTCGAACATTGGTTCAACAGGTCATGAGATCGGCCGATTAGTCCTCTCAGCTACAGTACGTATCCGGCTGAACTGAACAAATTATATGTATAAGGTGGCCCAAGATGGCTCGGATAGAATTCTGGTTGTTTAACCGCGTCAGGAAAGATAATAAAAAAGACGTTTTTTGACGGTTTGAATATGGTTACATATTTTTTTATGGTTCTTTGGCTGCTTTTGTTGAATATGGTAAAATAACAATTAAATTAATTGCTATTAGACCGTTTGTGCCAAGAAATTTCTAGGCACAAACGAGTACATCACTGTACTGTACGAGAATAAACATTTTCAGATAAAATATTTCTCTCTCTAGACCGTAATCAACTAATCTAAATCATAGCTGTTAAAATATGTAACAAATATTTCATAAATTTTTTTAAATACTTCCAACTCAGAAGTTTCTTCTCCCATCTCTTAATCTACGATTCTGAATAATTGCTTTTAAAATAGTGAGGCAAATATCAATGTTGTAAATATTAGTCTCACGTGAGATTCCCTTAAAAATCTTCCCTACAGAGGTTCCTTTTTCAAAGGATCCTTAGTAAAATGTAAACACTGGAAAATTTACAGAGCTTATTTCCGGTAGCTTTTTTTTTAAAATCCAAAATCGTACAGAATTCGTTCTAGTGATTTTCGCATTCAAATTAAATGAGAACAACATTGATCCTTAGATTTCTAATAAATCTTGAATCTACTCTCAAAAAATTTCCACATTTAAATCAAATGTGCATATTTTTGATAACATTATATTCCCATCATCAGTTTAATTTCTTTAGTAAACAAGTTCACACAGTTTCCAAGTTTAAATCAAATAAACATGTTTATGTATATATTGTGCTTCATTTATTTCTTCTAGTCATATAACGAAGATACTTAAAATATTTTTTGATTTAAATTAAATAAAAGAAATATTTCGTCCAGATCTTTAATAACCGATATAATAACAGATATTTAAAAATCTCGAACCTACACTCTAATAATTTCCACATTTAAATAAAATAAACATATTTATAAACACATTATATTTCCACAAAACTAACAGAAGTTCACACGGTTTTCACATTTAAATCAAATAAATATGTTTATGGTTACATTGTGTTTCCTCTATTTTTATTATTCCTATAAAGAGGATACTTTAAAAATTTCCACATTTATTTCAAATTAATAAATTTACGTCATATTATATTTCTTATATCACTAATAGTCCTCTGGCTAAAAATTATAAGGATTTAAATTAAAACTCTAGTGAAAAACACTTTTCAATAGTTTCAACATTTTAATGAAATTAGCACTTATTTGTTTTCTTGTTCTGATTATATTTTTAATTATATCAACACTTATGTTTATACATATACAGATAATATTTCATGTGCTTAGCTTTTTTTATAGTAAGAAAAACTTATATGTCTGTAACATTTAATCGGTGTTGCTCTTTTTGCAACCAATAGAAATTATAAAGAAGTAAACAATAAAAAAAAAAGAAAAATATAAAAATGACAACCGAAGCTGACGTCGTCAGGGGGTACCATAAATGGAAGTCCTTTTTGCGTTACCATCTCAGCATATTTGAAGTATTTTTTTTATTTAAATTTTTCTTAAAAATTGCACAAAGCATTAAAAATTGAATGAAAAACATTTGGCTTGGCAAAATATATTTTAAAAAATAAGTTTGAATGTATCTCTAGTAATGTGTATGGTTTTTGTCAGATTAATATGAAAAACATATACGCTACGTATATCAATAATTTCATGTATTCTGTATACATAAACTAGGTTTTTAACAAAAAAATATCTTTTTTGAAAATAATAATTCAACAATTTCGCACAGTACAATTTTTTTTTGCAAAGAAATTTTTTTTTAATATCAATTTTAAAGGTGGTTTTTATCCCTATCAATACAAAAATCTATAGTTTGAATTTTGTTTATTTTTCTTATTTATCATTAAAATAAAATAATAACTTTTATAAAATTTCGAAAGCAATGTACTAAAATTTATATATTTTATCAATTAATTTCAGAATAAAATAATTTCAAAATTAGGTTACCTTTTTAGATAAAAAGTTTAGCTAGACTCAAAGAATGATAATCATTGAGAGAAAGGATAATCATTATGACAGATAAAAATATTTAAACTAAAGCTGTTTGAAAACATTTCAAGTCTTACCTGAGAAAGCATTTTTCTTTTAAAACTTTCTACCTGAGATAAAATAGGATAAGATATAGAAGAGTACTCTGAAGCTGTGGTTTGTGAAATCTTTGAATTGAGCATCAGCTTTTATAGTCCTTTCAAACTCAAAAGTTGCTAAGGAATCTCGAATGTAAAACCCACGTGACTGTCAAGTTATTTCTTTCAAATTACAGTATAATAAATAACATTCTCAAAGAATCAAGATGCCACGGTAATTTTTCGAAAATATATCGTTCAAAATCTTGAATGAAATTTTTTTAAAAAAAGCGAGAGAATCTTTTGAAAAAAGAAAGAGGCAATTTACGTAAGTAGGTGAAGTTATGATAATTTGAAATCGTTTTGTTAAAAGAAAATTGTTCGCTATAATGATCTCTCTGGACTGTGACTTTTTTTTAATAATATCAAAGCAAACTGTTAAAGAGAAAAATAAATAGTTACAAGTTTCCAAAACACATTTAAAAGGCAGATTATGTATTTATTAAATAGTTATTCATCTACGCTATTCATAACGAATTATTTTTGCAAATCATATGTTTTAAGTTGCGTTAAAAGCTCAGTTCTTTTGAATTTAAATATGACCTTAAATCATTGGAAAAATCTTTTCTGTTTTGGTAATCGGAAATCACGACTTTATATAAATTAATTTTGAGTTGAAAATTCAATTTCTTGCATTTTACTATGACTGAAAAGCCTTCAAACTGAAATAATTTTGGCTTTTGAGAGGGAAATTACATATTTCATTCTATATTATTTTTTTAAACGTAAAATTACTGCCACTCTTCAAAAAGTTTTTTTATGGATATATTTTTGTAAAAACATTAGTTAGTAGAATGAATTGGGGCTTTTGGAACATTTAAAACAACAGCGGTTATTTTTTAAATAGAAAATAGTTTCAATTGGGCAACATTGTAGGTGATAAATTCACTGTAGTATTTTTCCACATTAGCAGGTCTAATTTCTTTGTTTTAAAAATTCTAGAGTTGCAATTGTGAGCATTTTCAAAAAAGAAACTTATTATGAAAGCAATTAAATTATAGTTTTTATCTCACGATTTTTTTTTTGTTTATTTTTCTATCATAAACGTCGTTGAACAGCCACCCCACTTTTTTTTTGGTTTACGACTATTGATAACTAGCTTAACCCCGTCCCGCCCCAGTAAGGGGGCATCCGGGGACACTACGAAAGTTCAAAGTGCGCGCAATCACATAAGCAAACATATTCAAAATTTTCGAATTAGAGTTTTAACAAATAGGTAGAATATTAAATATGAAATCCAGAAAACAGCGTTAATTAGAAATGAACTAAATGCAAACAAACGTTATAAAGGAAATAAACACTATCAATCAGAAGAGATCTTCAGTTGGGGTGAAAAGGAAACAATTTCACAAATATAAGATGTTTGTAACTCAGAATAGAATTACAGCTGGCACAACAGTATTTAAGGTATCAAATTCCAGGATGGGCTAATGTTCTCTTCACCGATGACCTACAACCTGATTCTGGACGGTTATTGATATGGAGGGAATCTGGAACCCGATACCATCCCAGCAACATTATCTAAAGGGACCATTATGATGTTGGAGAACTCATGGTTTGGGCAGGGATCATGCAAGATACCCACACACCGCTCCATGTGTTTGACAATGGTTCCGTGAATACCCAGAGTTACAGGCAGGAGTTCCTAGAGCCCTATGTACGTCTTGTCAAGGGCGCTGTTGGCCCTGAGTTCATTTTTATGGACGAAAATGAGCGACCACATAGGGCTCTCATGGTTGATGAGTATCTGGAAAGCGAAGATATTTAACGAATGGATTGGCCAGCTAAATCCCCTGACCTGAATCCTATTGAACATGCTTGGGATGGTCTTGGGTGAGCTATTGCAATGCGCCAACCTCCCTTCAGAACCATTCTTGAGTTAAAAATTGCTCTGGTGGAAGAATGAGAGGATCTTCCACAAGTCCTCCTTAACTCCCTTATTAACAGCATGCATACTCGTTGTGCATGCTGTCTGTCTGTCAGGGGTGGCCATACACCATATGGGTCATTCTCACTGAAAAGGTATTAATTGACTAAAGAATTTTCTCAAATTAAATTAATTAAAATAGTGATAGAAATTAAATAAATGCCTTTATTTATTTTTGCAATATGTCTTTATAATGATGGTCAAGCTTTCTATTTTATTTTTTTCAAGATTTAAAATATTTTAAATTCTGCCTTGTCCACGAAGGAGATGTAAAAGTCTACGGAGGAGACATTTTATGTTATAAAATATAAAATGTCAATGAACACTATTTCATTAATTGATGGGTACAACTGATATGAGTTTAACGTTAATAAGTAAATAATAAAATATTTCATTATTAGAGATAGAGCTACTTCCGATTAATCATGCTGCTATGAAAGGAAACATCCATTTTTAACCTAGGTGCACAATTTAAGTAACTCTTACTGAATATTAATAAATTAAAATGTAAAGACTATTGAAATAAAAATGACTCCACATGAAAGTTGAGTGTTGAGGGTACTCTTTTACGAACATTTTATGCAAGTTAAGCATACTGTCATCCAAATAACGTTTTTGTTTTTTCTCTTTTCTTCTTGTTATTGTTTCTCTTTTCCCTGGGCACAAACGGCTTGCTCTGTCAATTTCTAGAAATTTTCGTACATTTAATCACGATTTTTCTGTTAAATCTTCTTCTGATACAGATTTTAAAGTTTCTTGCTCTTTTTTTTATTTTTTTTTTTTTTACTTTCTTCAAACAATATAGGGTTTTCTTTTAATTTCTGTTTAGCTTGTCTCATACTAAGTTTTTTCTGCTTCCTTCTCTTTTGTAATTGAGCATTTGATTGCTTTCTTTTTCTCATTTTGGTTTTGCCATTTTTTTCCTAAAATTTGAAGAGAAAAAAAATGTTAAACATCATAGAAATTATTTAGAAAAATTGCCAATATTTACTTCTCCTATAAGAAAAAGTTAAACTTAATTAATTTTCTTTAAAAATATAAAATAATTAACACATTTGTTCCATTTAAAAAAATATCAAATAAAAGAAAATAGTTTTTTAATTATTAAAATTGTATTATGGTTATCTAACACATTGTCTCTTCCATTGACTGTGTCTTCTCCTCCGTGGACTTGCTACGTCCACGGAGGGGACGTTCTCGGGGGAGAAAAAAACTAGTTCTTGAATTTTTCTGACTTTTAATTTTAAAGTTACAAAAATGGGGCAGTTCTTTTTATTAAATATACTATTTTTGCAATCTAAAATTCATCTATCAAAAATAAAACAATTTTCTCTTACCTTCTTTATGATGTCCACGGAGCATACGGTGAGAACGTTGCCAAACCCCAGTTGAACACAACAATCCAAAACTGAGCGTCCACGGAGGGGATTTTAAAGTTATGTTTATTAAAAAATAAGAATGAGATATTTAATACATTTAGCAGAAATTTGATTTGTTAGTTAGAACTTTACGAGAAATGCTGAAGAAAAATATTAAGAAATCTCCTGTATTTCCTAATATTTATTACTAAGGGACTTAAAAAATCACCTTTTTATGAGAATGACCCATATAAGAGGCAACACACACTGTACAAGCCTCACTATTATTGTCATCTTTTATCCTTAAGTTCAGACTACATTGGATTTATTGGCAATAGGTCTTGCTAGTGAATGGCATTTTCATTTTTGTTTTGTATACTTTATTATCATGGAATTAGCTATATCTTTGTCCACCAGTGTATATATATGTATATATATATATATACATACACTGCTCAGAATTAAATTACAATTCCTATTATTAAATTAAATGTTAAAAAATAATAAATATCGACTAAAGGTTATTTTTAGCACGGAAAAGAATTTTATAATAGTGAGCAAAAAATTTTCAATTAGCTTAAAAACTTCTCGAGATATGACNGATTGTTGACATTCACCGGTGAAAGTCGACATTCGGTCATTCATGATAACATATATGTATGTTACCGACAAAGTATGAAACGCCGGCATTGTATAGAATGCCTGACGTTTTTAGGCAAAGTATATAATAAACGTCCTGATGAGGTTATTATGTAAATGATGTGCATGTTACTGTAAATGAGCGAAATTGGTGGTTGCTGACTTTCACCGGTGAGTGTTGCCAATCACATAGTCGCTTTGGTGAATGTCCGAAATATTTATTACATCAGATTTGATATTTAATTTATTATAAGATATAATTGCATTTATTCGATATTTTAATACTTACTGACGATAGGTTAGAAGAAACATCAGTGTTTGGGGTGTCCGGCGAATGTATTCCGGGCAATGGCACTTGACCTTAAAAAAACATCAGTGTAGGGTATACCGGGCAAATGTGTACCGGGCAGTGGCACTTCACCTTAAAAAACCATCAGTGTAAGGTATACCGGGCAACGACACTTGACCTTAAAAAAACATCAGTGTAATGTATACCGGGCAAATGTATACCGTGCATTGGCGCTTAACTAGACCTAGTACATATTTTGGACATTTACCAAAGGTCCAGTCATGCTAGTTCCAGTTAAGTGCCACTGCCCGGTATACATTTGCCCGGTATACACTACACTGATGATTTTTTAAGGTCAAGTGCCACTGCCCGGGATACCCTACACTGATGTTTCTTTTAATCTGTGGTCAGTAAGTATTAAAATATCGAATAAATGTAAAACAACCGATTTCGATCATTCACAGTAACATGCATTTCTCAAAAATAAAAATAATATTCTGAAAAAATACTGTGAGTGCCATTGAAAAACATTTATTCAAAATGTGGAAAGAAAATTTAAAAGTTATGCGAAACAAAATTTAAGCCTTTCTTATTAAGGGAATTTTCATGCAAAAAACATGAAATTAACCTACTAGTTGCAACATAGCAGGCTTGAATGACATTTTGAATTAAATTTTTCCATGTAAATTTCATTAAATTTCTCCATTTCCATCTGGCACAGTAAAAAAATAATTTTTGTTATTAGTTAAAAGTCAGGAGCCACGCGTTAAAAGTCACAAGCCTTGCCAAGTGATATTTGAAACGAATCTGGGATGTATTTTATACTTTGCCGGTTTCTCATTTGGCAATCTATAGAATGCCTAAAAATGTGCGAAATATAAATTATTTCATAC